ATGAAAAGTGCAACCCTATCATGTGCTAGGAAGGTAGGAAAGTTTGGAAACATTTGGCAAACAGCCCTTAGGACCACCTGAGTTCTATGATGCTTTCCCTAAAATTTACTGATTTTTAAATTTTCCTAAATAGCTACTTCAACTGGTTGTTTTGGCATTTAGAAAAATGAGTTGTCAACAGTAGGACATGGCAATACAACCATAGCTAAAACCCCCAAACATGTGTTTTTTTGGGGAAAATTTTCAGCTGTATCTGAACCCATAAGAAAGGATTCTCAGGAGGTGAAATAAAGTGTGAGTAAATCTCATGTGAAAAGTCAAATTTTTACATGTAAATGGTTTTCCCCAAGAATAGAAGCCAATAGCATTCTCTTAATTTTCACATAAACAAAAAAAGTCTGCCTGGAGGATTCAACCACTGGCAGCCTGGTGCACATTTTTCAAACACCGAGTTGATTTAACCACATACTAAATATGGATCAAGGTCTGATAGTTCCACTATTTTTGGAAAAATCCAGAACGATGTCCAATGGAATTTCCAAAGTGCATTTAGTAGTTCTTTGAGTGATGGATAAGATCAATATTTTTAAAAAATCAATATTAGAAATTCATCATTAACTCACTTTTTCAATCTAACAGTTTAATCCCCATAGTAATCCAATTCCACTGATTTTCTTGAGACTCCTTCCCTCTTTTCTTCCTTCTTTTCTTATCCTTTCCTCCCTCCCTTCTTTTCTCTTTCTTTCTTTTCCACTTGAGGGCATTTTTCATTGCTTTTAGGGAGAGAGGAAAGGACACAGGAAGGGAGAGAGAGAAGCATCAGTGTGAGAGAGAAGCATTGATTGGTTGCCTCCCATACATTCCCCAACTGGGGATCAAAGCTGCAACCTTTGGTAATGGGACAATACTCAGCCAACTGAGCTACACCTGCCAGAGTAAGACATTCTTGAAGGCAGTCCAAGAAAGGCATTTTAATAATATTTTAATCAATGGTGCATCTCTGTGCCTCCTGAGATAACCACTTTGAAGTTCTTAAAATAAGTTATGCTATGTGTTAAAATGCAAACTTAATCCTAACTAATCTGTTTTTGAAGAGCAGCAAACATGATCTCTCACAAAAGACCAGTAGCTTAAAACTAGCCTGACCCATTAAGACATGTTTAATAATTCCAAGATAAGTCTTTCTTTTTTAAAAATAGATTTTATTTATTTATTTCTAGAGAGGGAAAGGAGGGAGAAAGAGAGAGAGAGAGAGAGAAACATCAATGTGTGGTTGCTGGGGGCCGTGGCCTGCAACCCAGGCATGTGCCCTGACTGGGAATTGAACCTGCAATGCTTTGGTTCACAGTCTGTGCTCAATCCACTGAGCTTTGCCAGCCAGGGCAAAAAGTCTTTCTTTACTCAGATGTCAAGTATTCTCGAAAATCAGGGTTGTTGCAATCACTCTCATTTAATGTTCATTGAGAAGCACCTCCCTCAAGTGCAAAACACAGGGGCTTCTGTACCAAGGAAACAAAAGAGATTTTCTCATTAATTGTGTGCTTCAAAAATTGATGAATAGGCTCATTCTGAGAAAGATGCTACAGAAATACTTGTTTACCATCTAAGTTTGAAGAAAAAAAGAACCTCATTCCGCTGTAAGTTAAGTTGGTGTTGGTATATGACAACCTTGGGTCTCGCTGTCACCAGAGGACGTTTCTGAGAAAAGGTAGGTTTGGAACTGATTGTGGCATGATGAAAAGAAGGGTAAAAAGGCATTAATCTGACTGATATGAAGTAGAAATAATCCTAGGAAAAGGGAGCATTTATTTAAAAGAAGAATGAAGAAATAATGAGGAAAAGTTAGCTTGACTACACCACAGGTTGAAATAAGGTATGATAAGTTGATACCCTTTAAGTTTATGGGGTGATCATAAGATTTAATGTGGAGGGACATAAATATTTGATGCTCTTTGAATCAGGGAAAAAGCATCAAGATGTAAGGGATATTAAAAAATACCGACCAGGGCAGTTATTTTATTAGCAGTGTGCTCTAACTGAGCTAACCAACTATGTACACACCAGGAAGGTATTTTATAGTGAAGTTTTTCTTCAGTGCTTTTGGATAAATATGTAAAATCAGTATATAAGTAAAATCGGAAGAGGGCTATCTAAAATACTTATGAGAACAAGTGCCTTTCCAATTATGTAACCCATTACATACAAGTAAGTGAGTTTAGATCTTCAAGTAATACTTATTGAATTGAGGAATTGAGTACATTAGGCTAATCATAGTTTTATTTATTCTTTTAAATGGTTCCTCATAAATCTCAACTTAGAAGAGTATTGGAATTTTTAGCTTTATGTTAATTGCTCCATAAACTCAAAAGAAATAAACTTGTATTTTCATTAAAATATTCTATGATTTCAACAAATTTTATTTTTCTGATTAATCTCTCCTGATTTGGTCACTCACATTGCATGAGTGCTGCCCAGAACATACTTGTCACTGAGGGAGCAGACATCTGTGACTGAGTCTGTACCACATGACCAAGCCAGCCACAGCTGAATGGGTATAGGCTCCAAAGGCAGCTAGTCCACAGGCTGATTGTAAATCAAGAGAAGGGTTGATGCAAAAAAGCTCCCAATTAGAGACAGTGGTGAATAGCTGGGCCAGTCAGACCCCCTCTTAGGAATCTGAATTATGATGTACAGGAAGAGTATCAATCAGCTGGTAGTGGGGACAGTGTCAAAGGGGGATTGCGGCACCAGGGCTGGGGACAACAAGCTCCTCCAGTGCCTGACAGTATTCCATCTCCATGAAGCCAGGTGAGTGACTGTACTGGGCTCCCAGAGAGAGTGTTGTCTCCTTGCTGCCATGTGTAACCTTACGGTACAGCTTCATTCCCAAGATGGCCCGAATGAAAGACTTGCAACTATACAATCCCCCAAATCTAACTAGTATACAATATAACCCCAAATTTGGTAAAATTGTGCTATACACTTTTGAGGCAGTTTGGTACAAAGAGGTTCAATTTTACCTTTACTAATTTTAGGAAAAATTTTGGGAAACAATACCAGCCATTGTATATGGCTTCAGTGTGTTTAAAGTTTGTCAGCTGACTCAACAGAGACATTTCCTGCCTGCAAAACAAAACAAAACAAAATTACGTTGAAGGCATCATTGTCATCATTGTAAGTGATGATGGCTTTCTTCCAGAGACATAAGTTTGCAGGGCTTGCTGTTCCGTCTCAAGTCAGGTTCTCTGTGTGGTGTGTTAAGTAGTATGCCACCTAATCTATAGGCCTGTCTTTTAAAAAGATTTTATTTATTTATTTTTAGAGAGAGGGGAAGGTAGGAAGAAGAAGAGGGAGAGATGCATTGATATGCAGAGAAACATTGATTGATTGCCTCTCTCACGCCTTCAACAGGTGACCTGGCTCATAATCCAGGCATGTGCCCTGACCAGGAATCTAACCAGCGACCCTTTGGTTTGCAGGATGATGCCCAACCCACTGAGCCACACCAGTCAGGGCAATAGATCTGAGTCTTAATGTTTAAACATTTTCTCTCAAGTTGTTATTATCAATAAAGGCAGAAGGTCAAACTCTGGTCATTTACCTGGGTACTGGTTTGTGCTAAGAACATTGCTCAGGGCACAGATTTTAAAGAGGAGCAGCTAATTTGCATGCAGCAGAAAAATATATGAAAATAGAACATTGAAGAGAGGGTGAACACTTGAACAGCAGCTGAATTCTAGCTGGTCGTCACTAACGAGCCATGTTATCCTGGGCAAGTCCCTTTCCTCTCCGTAAAGGAGGGAGCTGCATTCCTGAAGTTCTTTGCATTGTATTATGTCCCCCACAAAAAATTTAAGATCTACCAAAGCAGCGTTGTCTGCCTTGTTTGCCTAGGACTGAGTCTGAGAACAGTTCCTGGTACCTTGCCCACGCTCAGGAGATAGTCATTGATATTCAAAAACCCATGTTGTCCATTGGTCATTAGAAAGGCTTTTTTTTTTTCACATATGGAGTCTTAGCTATTTTTCAATGATCTTTCACACAGCAGGTGCTCAACATTCCCTGGTTTGAAATAACACATTTGGTTCTCAGGGGAGGGGCACACCTTACTGGGTAATAAAAATATATGGGCATGGAGAAGCCTCCCAGAGTGGGAAAAAGAGTTCTCTATGCGCTGGGAAACCTGGCCCACCTCTAACTGCTGTGTGATTTGGGGCAGGTCATTCCATTTCTCTAGGGCTCTGTGTCCTTCTCTAAAAGGTCGGAGGGCCGAATTGGTCCCCTAGAACCCTTCTGGCAGCACACCTCTGACTCTGGTTTACATATAACGAATGCGTATTAAGGACAGATGAATCCATGTGGGGCTGCATGAGAAACGAAGGCAAAGTAATTAGTGCAGGAGCATCGGTTCATTAGAAACATCAAGACAGGCAGACTCTACTTTTTATGTGCACCACCTAAATTCCTTTATGAGCATCAGCTGGGATGGCTCTTCCTTTGCTATTATTGGTTCATCAAAGCAGGTCATTGACCCCAGCCACATCGGCCATCATACTCGCTGTCCTGGCGTGCAGACACCGTGGGAGGAAGCCTGCCAGTTTGCAAGTCCATGGGATGTTCATGTTATTTAAAATGCCCAATTGTGGGGATCCTGAGGATTCTGCTCTGACTTTTATTGCAAATGCTGGGTCACTCATACATAGGGGCCTTTTATACAAAAATGACTAGAAGAGTATTCCAGTAATGAGTTGCTTTTAAACTTTGGCATATTGGCATGACCCTAATTTCCTCAGACCAAGGTCTTTCGGTTCCATTAGTAAGAGGAGCCGAGTTGTTCTAGCATTGCTAAGGAAGGGAATTTTTCAGTTACGTGAATGAACAAAGAGACACATAGTCAGGGAGGGTGGCCAGCAAGATTGTAATTATGATTGAAAAGGCAGTCTTCTGATGAAGGGTCCGGGTGGAAGAAGGAAGCAGAGAAGGAAGGATGCGTTGGCATTTTGTTGGCAGTGTGACTCTGTGGGCTCCCCAGAGGCCCAGCAGGGCTGCATTAGGATGGTCATCCAGTTCTTCACTGCTCCCATATCCTGTGGACTTCAGAATGCCGCATCTTGCTGGAGGCCTAGTTTAGCCCATGGGATGAGATACTCTTGTGTGGAGTCAACAGTCTACAAAGGAAGAAAAGCCATCATGAACTTTCTGAGCCAGCATAGAGGATGGTACTCTCTAGAACTGTTTGAAATATTATCACTTTAGCATCAGTTAATACTTTGTTAATTAAAAAAAGGAAAAAAATGGAGCCTACCCATATTAGAACTTCTTTTCCATTGTCCCCCTTAGTCATTAACAAGAATCTCTCTGCAATACTCTCAAATGGCTGATCACTGGAAATTGAAAGTAATCTAAGAAATTCTCACAGGGGATAATAAAGATGTTCCTGTCATGTAAACGCCCTGCAGAGGGTTAATTATAGCAAATGATACAGCCATGTCCTCGACTGTGTGCCGTTCCAAGAAAAGACAAAGTCTCAGAGAACTGACCAGAGGGATCAGCCTAGAGCTGCCTAGTGTAGTTCGTGGCTTTCAGTCTCGGATTTTAGTTCCTTCTGATCCCCATGATTCAAGAATCGTGTCCCAGTGCGGTCTTTTTGGTTGGCCAGATTGTGTGTCTTCAAACCGTCATGGCGTAAATGCAAGTTACCTCCAGTTCTACGCTGCAGCACTCTCTTGGTTTTTGACCAAAATGATTAAAATTAGTACATCCCTCTGGACATCCAGATGATGAGGACAGACCTGGCCCAGCTCCTGGGGCCGCCTGGGCACCTGGAGCTAGGCGGTGACTCAGAGATGCAGCCAACGTGTGGCTCAGGGGGATCCATTTCAACAACTGATACTAAGAACAGACCCGACACTCACGCATATTTACAATTCCCCACTGTGCCCAGGGCAAACAGCAGTGGGCTTGCTTCTCTTCACCCTCAAACAAACCCTTCAAGCTGCCCTTTCTTTCTGGGGACACTCACCTGCATGAGAGCACATATATTGTTGATGGCAGTGGCCATGGGGATGGGGAGGGGACTTAGGCAGAAGCGGAAGGCCTGCCTTGCCTTTACTGCGCTGGCCTGGTGTGGTTTAATCTAGACTGCTCCAGCCTCACATGCCTGTAGGGATGGCCCTGCCCTACCACTCCTCTCCCAGGTCAGTAAAAGCCACTGGAGCTGAAACCTGGCTGCTCTCCTAAGGCAGGGGAGCTTCCTCTGGCCCTCCGTGGTGAACGCAGACGAGCACATTTACCTGCAGCTGAATATGAAGTTAATGCTACATCCTCCTGAGCTCCATCACTGTCTCGGGCTGAAAGCCAAAGGAGGGAAGGGCTGAGTTAGTGTCAGAGATCCACCCGGAAACAGCACCTGAGGACTAGGAGAGGACTTAATGGCTTGCAAAGAGGCTTTTGGTCTTTTAAAAATAAATTCTCTGTTCAGGCTGTTCTAACAACAATGACAAAAAATGATTTTTTAAAAAAAGTATTTTTAAAGCTTCTGAGGAAGACTGGACATGAATAGCCTTTTGTGTTCAGAAGAAGCTCATCTGTGTTTAGTAACTAAAGAGGCTGAAGATTCATCATCACTTTCTAGAGAAAGAACAGGGGCCCTGGGTCCGAGCCTTCTCTCCAGTGTTACCCATGACCACGGGCCTCTCACTGTCTTCAAGAGCAAAATAAAAAGCTTTAACTAGATCATTCTAAAGACCCTTTAAGCCTGATACTCTACAAAACTGATCCCATTTAAGAAACTGGACATAATACAAAACATCACTAAAGATGATTTTCTATTGTGACAGAATATCACGCAGGTGGTTATTTGTTTCATGTCTGTCTCCTCAATGGGACTGCAGAGAATATTCTCTTTATGAAGAGAGTAGCTGTGCCTGTGTCTAAGGCGAGGCCCCTGTGGGTACATATTTGTTGTTTGGTGGTCACAGCCACCGCTGGGCCACCAGTGTTCACACTGGTCAGCTGTGGCATTGGAGCCGTGGGCTCTGCTCTCTCATTGGTTAGCCGTGTTCCTTGGGGCCTGATTGCTTAACCTTCTGTTGCCTGTGTTTCCTGATGGGAGTAAAAGAGGGATCATGATGATCATAATAGGAAATCTACTTCATAGGGTTGTTTTGAAGATTAAATCGACTAACATACAGGTGGATAAGGCCCTTGGAGTAAGACGTGATATATGGAAAACATCACGGTGCTACACTTTGTATATTATTATTGGTGGTGGTGCTGGTGGTATAGTTACAATTGATGCTCTGACATCTTCCTCCTGCTGGCCTTTTTAGAGGGGTAGGACCTTGTGAAATATGAAAGGTTGTCTTTTCCTTCACAACAGAATGAACTGAATTTTTGGTGTAACTTTGTTCCTTGTGGCAGAACAAGACTCCTTCCTACTCAGTCCTGTGGTAACCAGTGTTCACCCAACATTGTTATCAGACCAGATCATAAGTTAGAGAAGCTTCATTCTCCAGCTCACTGTCTTCCTCCATATTTTTTGCCAGTTCTTTCTTTGTGACCTATAGCTCCTGAGGGTGACAAAAGCACGGTTTTGCTACTTGTTCCCATGAAAGAACAAACAAAAATCATGCCCCCTGGGACCATTCAAATTGGCTTCTCATAGTAAGGTGGGGCCTTGAAGAAAAAAATGTTGAGAATTGTCAGAAAGGGCTGCGTTCAGCAAAAGTTGGTATTTGCTGTATGGAAAACAACCCGAAGGGCTTATGCTTGCAAAAACTTTCTTCTCCTGGTTTATATCATTGTATAGCCATGGGCCCATTTTTATATTACATAGACTCATTTTTTAAATCAAATTATACTAGGTGTGTACACATTCAAACACAGGACAGAAAAATACCCACAATAATGTGATACTTTCAGAGATATATGGGTCTTGCTTTTAGCAACCTTGATATAATAATATTCTAGTTAGTCTTAAAGAGGTAAAGTAAGCAATTATTAGAACAGGAGATTTCCTAGCCTAAAAAAACATTCACAGCTGATATTCTACTATACTTATGGTCTCCACAAATTCAGTTACATTAAAAATTCTCAGTTAAAACAAAAACTAATTTTAAAAGGTCAATCAATATACTACTGTTTAGGAGCACTTTTGTAACAGGGCAAAGACTAAGCCCAACTGTTCTGTAGTAACAGCCTGCTTGCATTTTCCTTCTCTATCCAGATGTTTGCGTATCTTGGAATTAAGTCTGTAAGCCACTTCAGAGAGATAAAACCTAATCTTCTTCTGAAGGACTCCCAGGAAAAGGGAGTCTTTAATCCCTTTTGCTGATCCATTTTATTGTTTACCAACTCTTATTTTCATATGTAATCAAAATCCCTCGTGCTTTGGTTTGAATCCATTTCTACCCATAGCCTTCAGTGGGAGACAGGAAACAGGAGGACAGCCTCTTGGAGAGGTCTCTCTGTACTGGAGTAACACCCTGCTAATCCTCTCTTGTTTTATCCTTCTTTCCGGTGAATAATTTGGTCCCACAGCCCAGAGGTAAATCAAATAATTATGTGACTGGAGTCACAGCTATGGACGGTATTAATCAGAAGAGTCACATGACAAATGCATGCCTCATGGATTCAAACAAGATGTCATGTTTTGTACAGAATTTAGAGAGAGGAAGAATTTAAATAGTTCACCGCAAAGGCACGTGAAGAACTGTCATAGCAGTTCATTTTCTTAACATTTCCACACAGGTCTGATGTTACAACCCTTTGATCATCTTTGTGGTTTCCCACTGAAAGCTCTTCAAGTTCCCCACACTTCTCGTGAGTGGATCCCGGAGCTGGAAGGGGAATTCTCGTTAGCGATTCACCCATGCTCAGCACAATGGCCTGACTGTTCTTGCTGACCACATGCCTGTTTATATAGCATGCTGATTGTTTCTTGAGAAAACAAAAACAAAGACAGTGCTAAGCTGCGTTCCCACTGCAGCTCATGACCTACAACACACTTAGAGTTTTTCAAGTAATTGTTTTTACACTGTACTTAGTACACTGTACTTGCCTACTTCTTGTCTATTTGTGTCTATTTGTACATTTTCTCTAGCTAGGTATAATCCTTTACTTTTTATCGAGATTTCATTATTCTTCTAATTTTTGGTTTTTGTGCTTTTTCCAGGTGACCTGAATTCTGATTACATCCTCTAAAGCTTAAGTTTCTGGTTATTCTGCCCAGTTTTGGAGTGTGGTCTCCATGCTGTCTACCACAGTATTGATCCCCTCCCCCCACCCCCAAGTATTAAATTACATTGACAGTGGCTATCCCTGGCAGGGTGTTTTGTGCTCAGAAGCGGATCTTCTAGCCTTGCTTGAGCAATAAGCATTGTACCAGGAACACTGCACTTTTGCCAGCCCTTGCTGTTCCACCAGGATGTTCCTTAAAACATTTTAAACACTTGTCCCACATTTTGGGGGGCATGGAACATCGGTGATTACAAATCCCAGTGTGTGTAAGGTTTTATAAAACTTGAAGAATTCTCTCTCTCTCTCTCCCTCCCTCTGACTTTTGTTTCCTGGAAACGTAAAACAAACACAGGAAGTTTTATCCCGTCTTCTGGTGAGAACTACAAGAAGTAGTTTCCAGAAAGACTGACTCTGAAATTCTGCCAAAACCTCAGCGGTCTGATCGCACATCATCGACAAGCAAGGAAAACCTAGTACAGGAAGGACACGCACTGCCAGTTTCTGACCCTCGGTCAGCTGGACTGAAAAGAATTAATGGATGCATCCCTCTGAACAGGATACAATTTGAGTATGTAATTAGCCATAGATTACAGCTCAAAAAAGTGTATGTACTTAAAAGGAAAGCTTTTATTAATTTTTTTGAGCCTAGTGAACATGATGTGTGCTATACAATATATAAAATAACATCACTTGGCACAATAGAAACAAATTGTGAGAAATCAGATGCCTATTAAGACACAAGAATTGATGTAAAACTCTGATATTTGGTTATGAATAATAGGCCAGATGTTTTAAAAAGGAAATAATGAGTTTTGGCACATTTCCAGATGACTGAAATTAGCCACTATTTTCCCCAGGTTGTTGATGTTCAAGCCTCCTTATTGTCATGGATAATACATTTTATTTGTCAACAAAGGATGGTCAGGTGGCTTGGTCTTACATAAGGAACCTAGAAATTAATATGAACATGTCACATAAGCAAGTTGTTTTATTTCTATTAATGATTGTACATGTGTAAGTTTACTCAGGATTATGATTTAATGGCTCTTCCTGTCACTTTTTGTAAACCTTGAAGGGCTTTAAGCAGTGAATAGTTTGAAAAGCAATGATCCGGAAGTTATTGGGCTTTGTAACTTTAATGAGGTAATGAGTCCTGCAAATCAATTTATTATGATGTTTGGGCAAATTAGTTTTGAGACTTAACTTTCAAAATGTCAGTCACTGTTGCCAGGATTGACTTCCGCACTTGACAGCCTAAACAGCTGGGCTTAGCATTATATGTCATGCAATTGCATGGCCCAAGCCTCATTTGGGGCTGATTGACTCATTTTATATGAGTGGGTACCTTTCTCTCCCCAGCATGAGCACCAAGCCACACCCTCTTTGCTTAGGGCCTTTGGTTCATTTCTGTCTTGGTCTCATTCCCTTGGTCTCTGTATTTTGGAAGAGCTCATTTTTCATAAAAGTGTAACCATGATTCTGGCGGTCTGCATCTCCATGTTTGAAGTATTTAGTCATCTACTACATTCTGACCATTGTCTTTTTGTTCCTCCTGATTCACTTGGTTGCACAATTTCCCTCCTGTTTCTCCCACAGAAGAACCTCCCTGCTTCCTGAACCCCCAGGAAGGTACCTTTTGAGAGTTCCTGGTTCTCTGCTCTGAAGCCGCATTGGTAGGCCGGCACCGAGCAGGTGTTGCCTGGTAAAGCACAATCTTGTTTCCAGGATCTGTAGAGAATGCAGAGCTCGGGGATGATGTACAGCAGCAGGAAAACCCAGGCATTGGTGACCAGAGCAATGCAGATGACAGGGTCATCCCACTGGGGCTGCCGCTGGAGCTGCGGGTTGCCCCTCATGAGCATGGAAATCCACACCACCCAGATGATGATGGAGATGAGCATAGTAATGAAGATGAGCCTTCCATGCTGCTTCCAGTTCTCACATGGGCCACAAAAGGTGGCTTTGGAGACGAAGAATGTGAGGGCCATCAGGAGAAGGACGTAGACCAGGAGCACAACAAAATCCACATTGAGCTGGCAGGGCGTCATGTGCACAAACATCATACCTCTCGTCATTATGAGAGTCACATACTCAATGGCAATGATGGTCTGCAACAGGCTACAACCAACAGCAATGCACAGAATTGTGGTCCAAGAGAAGGAGACGCCGCCCCGGACCAATTTCACCAGGTTGGAGGCATGAGCCAAGAGGCATGCAAAACAGAGAGCAAAGAGAACCCCAAAGAAGAAGTAGCGTACAGGAGCAGTTTGCTGATTGAACGGCATGATGAAGGCAAAAGCAAGGCCAAAGAGCCCCAGCACACCCAGGAGGAAGAGGATCTGGGTGGGGAGGACATTCCATTGGCCACAGTCTTGAACCTTACACATGAGGAAGAGAAGTGCCAAGAGCAGAATAACTGTAACCACAATGCCAATGATTGCCAGGCACTCCAGGACAATGCGCCATGGCCCCTCTGTGTCACAGAGGAAATAATAGTCCTCAGTGGACTTGGGGAAGTCCTCACACATAGTGACTGTAGGTGGACTTCACGAAAATGGACTTGTGTTTCCCTGCAGAAGAAAGAGGAGACAAACATATAACTTTCTATCTACTCACAAGAATGCCTGTTGCAGGTCACTATAATGTCTCTCAGTCCCAAATAAAGACATGTAGATTTACTGGGTGAAATAACCTCAAGCTAGTAAACCCTCAAAACTATCCTACCTCTATCCTGCTGGGAAAAACAGAGCAATCTTTACTTGGGGGCTCCAGATAATTTATCCACTTCCATGTCACAATTTCCACCATGGCTTTTTGAAGCTGATGGAGAATCTTTTTCGTAAAGAGGGGTATGTAAAGAGGGGTATTACTGACTGATGGAATTCCAGCTATCTCAGGCTCCAGGACAAGAGCCGTTGACCTTAATGGATCACTGGCTCACTCAAGACACTGATGCACTGGTTGAAGGAGACAGACAGGTGATTTTTCCTAGTAATATTAATGACCATTCCTTCTTAAGATTCAAGTCAATTCAGTGCAACATGTTCTTGTTCAATGCTTACTATTTGTTCATCAAAGAATTACACAAAATGGTTCCTGCCTTTAAATAACTTTTTGGATAATTTGGCACCCAAATCCATGTCTTAACAGAGGTTGCCTAGGAAAAAATTCCATATATTGATTTGGAAAAATGTACCTTGCAATTGAATATTCCTAGCTCTCCTCCTCTTCAGTTATTCCCAAGCCAGATGGCTGGAGCGACCCAGGTTTATAGCTGAGGGCATGGCCCCTTCCTTTCGACTTACCTTCTCTGTGTCCACGCTGGAAGCTGAGGTTGTGGTGGCTGCGAGGCTGTAACTGCCAATGAGTAAGAAGGAGACAACCTCAGCTTCTTTATTCTCTCCCCAAATGGGCGGAAGGACTGGAGGCCCTCACTCAGATTCCTGCAGTGCCTATAAAAAGAACCAGAAGGTCAGAAGACACACCTATTCCAGTTTCACAGCAACTTTTCTAGGAGATTTCTTTGGTGAGGACAATTATTTTCCATTCTACTGCTCTCTAGAGGACCTTGGCCTTAGGGAGTCCTTCAGGGGGTGTGAGTTTAGGAAAGGCTGCTTGCCCCCCACGTGCTGCACCATGTTCGGGAAGCTGCAAGAGACCCTCAGTTGACCCTACGAGAGGATCTTTCATCCTTCTTCTGACCTGCTCCCTGAAAAGCTGCCTTCAGGCTCTTTCCCACATCTTGGTTTTGATCGTAAGATTCAAAAGAGCATTCCTTCAACAAAGGAGTAAGGGTTTTACTGGGCCAAAAAGAAGGGGAGGTGCAGTTAGAGGGCCAGTGATTGGCGAAATTGTGGACTGGGGGAAATTTGTCTTCTCTGCTATTCTCTTTTCCTCTCTCTGGGAAGTCCTCCTTCAAACCCTGGATATCCAGCAGATGTGGGCTTTGGTATAATTTCCCTCCATCCTTCCTCTCCTCACCCTGTGTCAGATACATTTGCACTGGATCTCATTCCACCGGGGCTTTCCTAGGACCCACGATGGAACTCAGAATGGGAAGTGGCCCCTGATATTGGTGTATCATGTTCCTTTCCTCCTGTGGTGACATGTCACAGAGCACACAGTGCCATGTCCTGCCTATCCCGGCTGCAGGCCCCTCCTCACTCCCTGCCCCTGCTCCCGGTTTACTCCGTGGTTCTTTTCCTGGATATTTGCCTTTTGACGCAGGACTTCTAAAGACCCCACATTAGTACCTGTTAATCTGGTTTCAGGTCGCTCTTTGACCTGGCCCTGCCTTTCTCATCCACCCATATTTCTTTCAGGTCTCCCGGCCCTGTGTTTGTCCAGGTTGGTTTTCCTACGGCCTCCCAAAGAAGCAAGCTCCCATCTGCTTGCCTTCTCTTAGGTGTTGTCCCTGACCTGAACTGCCTTTGCTTTATTCCTTTTTATCGTCTGTGTTTTATTCTCCTTGACCCTATTTCCTCCCCAAATCAGAGTCCTACCTTTCAGATCTAGTGCATGGTATCTCTCTTATGGATTTGCCCGCCTTCCCTGATCACCGTAGCTCTCCCTCACCTCCTCCCACTGTGAGCACAAGGCCACGGAGGGTCTGTGCTCTTCAGAGTGACAGGAGCCAGATTGTCTTCCTATTTCATGTAAATTGATTAATTAAAAACATAATGAATGCATTTTAAAAAAGTAAATAAATTTCTTTGTTTTGTTTGTATAAGTCTCATCCGCTTGATTAGATTTATAGTTGCTGGGGGGCAGGGAGCCCAGTTACACATTTTATGCCCCCACGGCACCTGGCCCAGAGCGGGGCACCTCCTGGGTGGTGGACAGACTGTTTCATTGAAGGACACTCACGATAGAGTTCCAGGCCTTGTGAAGGGGCTTTTCCGCAGTGTGCTTTTCCAACAGAGGCTTTTTAGTGAAAGCCACCTGCAAATAAGTCAGGACCTTCACAAACCCGAGACAAAGTCATTCTGAAGTGGGGTTCTATTTTAGAGATGGCTTAACTTTAAAAAGCCATTTTTTTTTTTGCCTTTGAGGGAAGAATATTCTAGGGAGGTGAGTCCTCCCCTTTACTTGCTTTAGGTGTAATTCTGGTCGGACTGGAGCCGTGAAGGCAATCTAAAGTTTATGTGAAAGGATGAAGGGATTTTCTAGATGATGAAATATGACCTTCATGAGAATTCGCTCGAAAAGCCTAGTGAGTGGTTCAGTTGCTGTCAGTAGAACAACAGAGGATTTCTCATTTAATTCTTCCAAGAGAACTATTTTGGTGACCTCTTCTCTCCTCCCAGCCCCTTCCAGCTAGTTAGTCATGGCCATTCCTCACTGCTGTGAAGTTCTGGCCAGCTTGCCTTCTAAGGGGATTCCTCCCGACCTGCTGGCTTGAGGCAGGTGAATTAAGAGGTTAATTACCACATAAAAGAACCTGTCTAGGTGCTAATTATTGTTATTTAAAAATCTGGAGTTGTGGGATTAACCCACGTGCTGCTAGGCCTTAAGGAAATGAGGCCCCCCTTTGCCTACACACCTCCACGTCACTCACACCTCATTTCTTTGGGCTTTTGTGTGGCAACAACTGCACACCAAAGAATTTGGATATAGCTTTGATGACTCAAAGAATATTGATTGCCACAAGTCCATTAAAAATAAAGATAAAACAGTCAAGAGGCCGAATGCCTCTTGTCAAACTCCTATTTGTGTCATTTCCTTCTCCCAGAAACAGAGCTGGAGGAGATGTGAGAGCTCCCCTGTTTTGATCTTTCCATTAATAATAATAAGGAAGCCGGCATGATCACAGGAGGAAATAAATAATAAGAGAGCAGAGGCCCCAAGAAATAAAGGAATGCACCAGACACATGGAATGGTGGGGGAGGCAGCCAGGGTTGCCTGACTCCTGTTCAGGTTCTTTTTTTTCTTTTTCTTTTCTTTATATTTGTTCCCTGGTCGCATTCTTGCTGCCACACCAGGCTGCCTTTCCTGACACTCCCTACCTCAGGACAGGCTCTGAAAGAGACAAGGCGTTAGACGTGACATGTGGGGTCATGACCAGAAAGAAAAAAGGAGAATAGACTATGACTGTCTGTCTGTACAGTCATAGACCCCTGTGGTATACACTTGAAACTAATACAAAATAATATGGAATGTACACTTTAGCAGAAAAAAAAATTTAAATAATAAAAATAAAAATAGTCATGGGATGTAAAGTTCAGAATAGGGAATATAGTCAATAATATGGCAATAACTATGTATGGCGTCAGATGGACACCAGACTTATCAGGGTCATCACTTTGTAAGTTATGTAAATGTATAATCATTACGCCATACGTCTGAAACTAATATAATGTATGTCAACTATAATTGAAAAATAGAAAAGATGGAGTTCAATACAAAAAAAAAAAGAGATTATGAGAGAGAGTGCATCAGATAGTCTTCATCCTGCAACAAAGTGTGCAGCTGTGAGGACTGGCCGTGGGAGACAGGGTGCACTGGCCAGGATGGACCATTCACTCTTTAGCTCACTGTCCTCTCCCAGGCTGGCTCTGTGGGGGTGCAGTCAGCGCAGCTGTTCAGGGCCATCCACTCAGAAGGGTTCTATGCTTGACGTTTAATGCTCTGTGGTCACCGTCTTAAAGTTCTTCATAACTTTAGCTCTGAATGTGGGTGTTTGTAAGTGAAGTCCGATGGGACAAAGAAGTACGTGCTGGGGCTTAGAGCCTTGGCTCCTGCGCGCCGGCCTGCCTCCATCGCCTCCCAGCCTCCCGAGACAGGCTCTCGGCTGCCCACTCCACACCGCCGTCCTTTGGGGCTCTGGTTACCAGGCTTCCCCCTTTCTGCCCCCACCTCGTGACTGCGGCCACACTCCACCTGGGGTCACCTGTCCATCATGGGGTGGGCAGTGGGTCCCTGGAAAAACAGATTGACAGACCCACATTCAGGCAGGGGGCCACATTTTCATTTGCACTGGGCCCTGAAAATTAGCTAGCTGGCCCCAGGCACTTCATTTATTTTCTGGTATATTATGGTTAACTCGATCAATATTTTATTAGGATGCCAACATTGTGCAGTTGAATTGCATATTAATATAATGTGTAGTTAGTTGTGAAGAACATCCATGTTTTATGTGGATCAGTAAATTTTCAAGACTTGAGTTCATTTATGAATGTTCAGGGTTTTTTTTGGAAAGAAAGATTTTTTGGTATTTTTTTCCAGTGAGTGACTAAGTTTTTATCCATTATTAATTTTAAAAAGCCTTATAATACTCTATTTAGAAGTATATTAGGTAGCAAAACAAGAAATGAGTCACACAGCCCTGGCTGGTATGTCTCAGTGGATTGAGCGCTGGCTTGTGAACCAAAGGGTTGCCAGTTCGATTCCCAGACAGGACACATGCCTGGGTTGCAAGCTGGGTCCCCAGTGAGGGGCGCATGAAACGCAACCACACATTGATATTTCTCTTTCTTCCTCCCTTCCCCTCTCTCTATAAATAAATAAAATCTTTAAAAAACGAAAGAAATGAGTCAAACAAATGTTAAAAATTATTCTTCCAGGATGTATGGGATAGTACATATGATTTTGATGACAAAATGATGAATCAGCTGACACACTTAAAATTATACCTCTTAATATACTATAATATCTCATTAAATCTGTACTGTTGCTGAACATAGAAAAGCAATTTTTAATTCATGTATGGTTGACAGGCAACATTACATAGTGATCGGACATTTATATTCCTTGTGATGTGATCACCACAGTAAGTCTAGTGAGCATCTGTCACCATACAAGTTATTGTGCTGTCCTTGCCTGTGTTCTCTCTGCTGTGCGTTCTATCCCTGTGACTTATTTGAGAAGCAGTGTTTTAACACCCTTATAGTCTGACATAGATGTTATGATTCAGCTTGACAAAAAGCACTGAGGTTGTAAGTTGTCAACACCTGTAGGATCAGATATGACAGATTTTATAGAAAATTGTTTTGTCTTGTTTAAATTTAATTTCACTCATGACTGGATTAGACACCATGTCCAAGTTGGAAAAGTATATTGTTGATTTAATATTCTTTAAACTGGGAAAATCATAAAGGGATTACAAGCTTGGGCAACAAATATGGCCAGAAAATATGGGAGTTATTGAAATTTGTTCAGTGACTAACAACCATGGTTTATTCATCATGAACCTTTGACAGCTAAGCAAATTCTACTTGAATGTTATGGATTTATTGAAATCAAATGAGATGGCAGTGAGCAAAACTTTTAGAAACATTTTGTTCAGAGTTTGGAGCTGACCATGCCCACTTAGTATACAAGGGGGAATTCCTGGTTGTCGTAAGGTAAACTACTAAGCCAAGCACAATACATAAATTCAGAAATAAGATTTAGATTTCTTGAATTGAAAAACTACCTCATTTATCAAATATTTTTGCACATGGTATTTGGATAG